AAACAAGCACTGTAGTTTGCGTCCATACTGTCCAAACAAGCCAGCCAGCTGCTAGAGGGAGCAAACTTCTCAACTGATTTGTCACACCAAATACTTTTTTCTGTCTGACTTTCATTGGTTGCACTGTGGCTTAAATTCAGCTTTTTCTGCTGAAAGTCACTCATTACCTCCATATTAGATGGAAGTAGTCCTGTTTGTTGAACAAAGCTGGGCTCTTCTTGAGAAGTTTTTGATCCTGCAGACTTTTTAGTGCTAGATTTCTTAGCTATTACCACTGGTTGATCCACACCAACAGATCTTGCCAACTCTGTGATTTGTACTGCCATGGTTTCACCTGGTGGGGATTTTGCCATCTTTTCTGTATCCAGCTTCACTTCATTGTTTTGTACATCTTTCTCTTGCACAGCTTCAATACCCTGTTTGGAGGTGATAACAGCTTTTCTCTCATCTAAGGAAGCCCCTGGCAGCATATTCTCCCCTTCATGAGGGCCATATATCATGCCTTCACATGAGCTGACAGAAAATAAGTCATGTGGCACTATGTTCTCTGGAACTGGTTTACCACTTGCCACATCATACAATGGGATTGTTTCTTTAAAGGACTTCCACAGCTGAATAGCTGGAGAGCCATTTCCATATTCTATCCTCACTTCTTTCTTCTCAAAGGCATAACTTCCAGTAGGAAGATTTCTATACTGTGTAGGGCTGGCAGGGTTCTTATTATGAAACTCTCTGTCTACCACAATAGAAGAGCCAAATGAATCTTGTTTCTCTGAAGTACTTTCAGTCTCTGTACCTGTACTAGGAGAAACACAGGTTGTATTTCCTGCATTACGACCTTTTGTTTCTGCACGAATATCTTGATGCCCTTTTTGCTTGCTTTCAGGCTGTCTAGGATCAGTCTGTGTTTCTTTTGTCTCCACTTTCTTCCCAGGGCCACTATAATGTCTAAATCTTGTTGCATGATAAAACACAGGGGAAGGTGGGGCAGCATTAAAATAAGGCCTTCTGTTAATTCTTGTATGCACGGGATGCCGTGGAACAAAAAATCTAGGGTACTCATGGAGCGCAACAGGATAAAATGGAAAATATGGATTTCCACTTCGAAAGCCTAGACATTGGTGACAAAAAGAAAAGACAAATATCATCTTTCTGAAATAAGTCATCCTGAATCACATTTACTTGCATTGACAGGGACAAGATCAGAAACATCTGTAAATAAGACACACCACCTTCCAACGCTTAGAAGCAAATCTGGTGCAAAATCAGAAAGAGTTCTTTGTTGGAGAATAGCTTACCTCAACATCTACACTTTAACCATAGCTTGAGTTAATCCCTTGGAACATTCAACAAGTTGTTTTCTGTGCTTTTTTGGCTATTTCACAGACTATTGATATAGCATTAATTTTGAAAAATACAGCTTAAGATAGAAGTTCACATAGGTATAGCACTTGCAAACTGTATTTAACAATACTTTTCTTATTTTCTTAAGCTTACATTTATCCATACCTATCATGCATGCACATGTGGAATTCATCTATACCCACAAATACGAATTGCCAAGTATATTCTGGAGCTCTGTGTCTGCAGGATGACCATTACTTAGTATTTTGCTTAGCTTCCATTCTCCAGAAGCAGATGCTTTCCACTACACAAGCTACATATTTAAGGCAGAATTAATGTAGAGCTACAGTTGTCAAAAATCTGATTTATTAAGTATTAGTTAAAATCTCAAGAGGCTCATTAACACAGATACTGCAAGAGTGAGGAAAGAAGTATGTAACTAAGTAAGCAAAGATCCCACAGAGAGCTGCTGTTTACCTTACCTGGAGCAGGTACGCAGTATGGACTGTATGCATGACTGAAGTACCATGGATTTGGATAAGGCTGTTGAGCTGATGACTGTGCATAAAAAAAGAGTCCTGGGTGGTTTGTGGAATATGATCCACTTTCTGAAGTTGAGGCAGTACTCATTCTTCTTTAAACACTGAAAGAGAGAAGTAATCATTATCAACTGCATGACTTAATTATTTTTATGCTCTGTCAGCATTATCAGACATTCCTCTCCCTGCCCAAAGAAAACAGAAGAAAGCTGTCCTTCCAAAAGAAAGCTGCTGTCTTCCAAACAGAAGGCAACAAACTGACATGCTATCAAGGTCAAATATTTCAGTTGGGCTTTGCTAAGCAAGCTTTTGTACACAGCTCTCAATATTAGTCCTTCAAGGCAACCTTGCAACATGCTCTAAAGCTACAGAACTTCAGTAGTCTTAGATGCATGCCTCTCTATAAGCAGTATCCCAGCCAATTAAATAAAAAAGCCTTCACTGAATTAGCCTTGAGCAAGAGACCACACACACACAAAGAGGAAAAAAAAAGCTTCACACAATCAGATATTTAATGTCTTCATGAAGAAAACGCTTCGTAATGCTAATGCATATGTTATTACACAGTACAATAAGAACTCCATTAATTCAGGATTTGTACTTTATACTATACTTAAGAATGACAGCTAACTAATGTAGTAAACCAAGTATTTCAGTGACACCCTGCTTCCTACGCTTAAACCAAATGATAGGTAGCAAAAACAACCCCACCAAAATCCTTATGTGTAAGTTTGCATTCAGAGCCATATAAAATTCACAATACAGAACTTCCTCCCACACTTAGATGTCTCCTCAGTTAACAAATACTTGCAAGCAATACAACACTATCACACAAAGCTTATAAGCAAGACTATAAAAAAATCAGAGAACACAGAAGCTTAATTCTTTAGAAAACTCAAGCACTTTGAAGTTCCAAAAAAAAAAAAAAGCAAAAGAAAACAAGAAAACTATTTAGAGACCTGTTACAAGTTCGCATACGGTTCAGCCTAGAGTTTCAGAATGCCTTAGAAAGACTGGAGCCCTCTTCAGTTTCCATGTAGGGTGGCCTGTGCAGCTCTTGAAAGCACCAAAAAGCCTACAGACTCCCTCAGGCCAAAGAATTACTTCGACCTTTGAGAAATAGAATGGTGCAGAGAAGGGGAAAAAACCCACAAAAAGCAGTGAGAAAA